AAAAAAACAACAAATTAACCAAATCATAGGATGATCGTTAGAAGATTTTTTCCTCAATTTGCAAATTTTAATATTTTCGTTTCCGTTTAATACATTAGGAAGGTGGGTCAAAATCGACTCGCATCAAGTACCAGTGTCCCACTTTGAGCATTTCATCTTCAAACTTCAAGTTCAAGTAAACTCTATAAGAGAAACTAGCCATAAAGCTCAACCCTTGTACAGCAGTAGAACGCGGAGAGTCTCTTACAAGATCTTCAACCCTGAGAGGCTGTACCTTTCTCTGCAGGAACAAGACCTTGTGGAGTTAAAAACTGAGGCTCTGTTTGCTGGAAACACCCAAATTGAAGGTGCAGGGTCATCTTCTCAATCTTCCTTGACCACAGAAGAGGAAATTGCCAAGGCTAAATCATTAGCGTACCATAAACAAGGAGGACACAGACCCTCTTTCAAGTCTTTGCTGTTCGTTGGCTTGGGCAATGGTCGAGCAACATGCGAAGTGGAAATAATCTGGTGGCCAGAGCTTTACAGCACTAGTCATGGCCAAATGACTATTAGGATTTTTATCGAAAAGTGCGAGTTTTAAAGAGTCGTGATTAGGACTGAACACTTCACCAGACAATTCACAACCTCGTTTAAGTTTGCAGCTGCATGCCTAGGAGTACACAGAAGATTATCTTTCTCCTCTACATATATCCTGCTTAGATTGTAAATAATTAACCTTTCATATAATTAATTCCTTTAGTTGAAATTGACCTTTTTCTTGCTTAAATATTTAACATTATTCTTCCAAACAATATCGAAAAAAGGTACTTTAGTAGTGTTTCAAAATCACCAGTAACAGCAGTAATGGGTAAGCTAGGCTTAAGTTATATGCTACAATACAGAAGTATTTAGAAGCAGCTGTGAAATATCAGTTTTATGCATTAACTCTGTTACCAAGAATTAACCCTTTAAACCGTTATGTCAAAAACGAAATTCTTATTTGTTACCCCTAAACACTTTCTATAGAAGTAGTGGGATGAAGTTTTTTTAAACATCAAGCAGATTCATGTCCTAAATTCTTTTGGCCACAGCACTGATGATACAGGGAGAAGTTTGATGCTGATCCCTCTTAGGGCTTAAAGGGTTAGTATCATGATATAAATTATTATTATAATTGTGATTAATATTTCATTTACAACATTATTCTTCTTATTTTCAATTTAACACAATATAATGATCGTAAGAGAAACTAAATAAATAAAGGATACTTGAAACTGAGGCAAAGTTCATGAAAAGTTATATTACAGGATTGACAGAACTCATACTGAAGCAGTATATTAATATGTAAGAATATTGACAATAATATTTAAGCATGAACAATAATCCTTAACAAAGGGATTTGCAGGACTTGTATAAAAGAATATTAATTTTACATTTTAAGCACGAAAAAATCAATCACTTCAGAATCTAAAGTTCCTTTTTGCACAAAAGTACATTTTCAATAGTTCAGTTGGCATTGCTTCTCCATTCTAAAATTTGAGACATCAACTGCGTTCGGAGAAAGTCCATGTCCCTGAACTCCCATTGGAACGGAGGAAGGCATTTCCCACTTCTAATGATATCTCTGACAGAGAGAATAACCCCAATACCACAGCTACCTGCTCCTACACCTGTTGTTGTCTGCTGTGGCATGTTGATACGGGGTAGAGGAAGGCACAGTCTTGGGTGGTTCCATTGTTCCACCNATTATTATTATTATCATTATTGCTATTATTATTATTTAGTTTTTATTATAGCATTTTAGCCTTATTTTAATTTGTAGTTTTTTATTTATACGCTCATTAGAATCTTCAGAATTGAAGGAGGTGAGTCGCCCAGGAAGAAGTAAGAGAAACTAAATAAATCAAGGATACTCGAAACTGAGGCAAAGTTCATAAAAAGTTATATTACAGGATTGATAGAACTAATACTGAAGCAGTATATTAATAGGTAAGAATATTGACAATAATATTTAAGCATGAACAATAATCCATAACAAAGGGATTTGCACGACTTGTATAAAAGAATATAAATTTTACATTTTAAGCACGAAAAAATCAATCACTTAAGAATCTAAAGTTCCTTTTTGCATAAAAGTACATTTTCAACAGTTCAGTTGGCATTGCTTCTCCATTCTAAAATTTGAGACATCAACTCCCACTGGAACGGAGGAAGGCATTTTCCACTTCTAATGATATCTCTGACAGAGAGAATAACCCCAATACTACAGCTACCTGCTCCTACACCTGTTGTTGTCTGCTGTGGCATGTTGATACGGGGTGGAGGAAGGCACAGTCTTGGGTGGTTCCATTGTTCCACCTTGAATCTGGAGTCCTTTGAAAGAACACTAAAACCATTCAACATGTTCTGAACAACTGGGACAGTGCTTCGGGGTGGGATGATCTTCAAGCCATCATCAAAATAGGCTGTCCTACTGACTGGATCGAGGCAGAGAAGTCCCCAATGTCGTCTATCTGGCATATGAATTGGAGTCAGGATAACATTTACTGCATCTACTGAGCAATGATTGAAGTAACCCACAACCTTTCGGCTGAAATACTGTGCACCTTGTTTTGCCCAAGATTGACTGTAACATGGGAGGTACACAACCTTACTTTGTTTCTCTTCCTTTAGAAAGGCGGGGCATGTCATGTCAATGGCAAAACTGTTAACATAACGTTCATAAGCAAGGTTACAAAAGTCTGATACATCCATAATACTCTGTCCCTGTTGTAAAATCACATCATTAAGCCTTGCATTAATAAGCGCATCTTTGATCCCAGCAGTGTTCTGTGCCTCAGGTGTTTGGCAAAGCCAACAAATTTCTTGTCTTAAGTTTGAGGCATCTGACTCCAATGCACACATTTTCTCAAACACTTTTAGTGAAGCCAAGTTGTAACAACCCCGATCACCAATCTTAACAGCCTTATTTGGGCATGTGTGCAGCAATTTCATTGCATGTTGTACAATGCTTGCTGATGGACAACCATTAGCCAGCAAAGGGTTAAATAGTTTTGTAAAATGTTTCGAAACTGAGACATCTCCAGGTACTATAAAGGACACTTTGGAAAAGTAGTATACTGCTGCCTCGTTGCAGGTTAGGCTATTTAATCTCCCATTCTGAAAATCTGCAAGCATGAGCTGCCTCTTTTGAACACTGCATGTGACATTGTCTTCACCATTAGTCAGTTTACAGCTGCCTTCACTGACACTGCATGGGATATCATCTTCGTCGTCAGTCCGGTTACAGCTGCCTTCATCACTGATACTGCATGACTCATCACCTTCATTATTAGTCAGGTTACAGCTGCCTTCACCGCTAACAGTGCACGAGATATCATCTTTGGCATTAGTCAGGTTACAGCTGCCTTCACCACTGACACTGCATGAGATATCATCTTTGTCAGTGACCAGGTTACAGCTGCCACTGGATGTACTGGGTTTGGCTGCGTTGTCTTGTACTTCTAGGATGTTCGTCACATCATGAGTAATCTGGCCTGGAGAGAGTATGGAAACTTTTGATGGTTTTGTGCATTCATACTCACAGAAGTCAGGACCAAACAGCCTAGTGAACACTGCATCCATCCCTCTGATCCATTCTTGATCTTCGTTAGACCAGTCTGGCCTCCAAGGTTTCCACCCACACCCTCTGTAATAGAATGGTTTTCCTGGTAGAGGAAAAGAAAACAAGAAATAAGAAACTCAACAGTCATAACAGTTGCATCTGAAACTTAAACTCTTACGGTTTCGGTATTTTAACCTTTTCTCTCAGTTCTTGTCTCTACCTTAAACATTTAATATTCAGCTTGTCAGGGAAAGCAGACCATTTGGTTGCAGCTAATATANCTTTTCTCTCAGTTTGTCTCTACCTTAAACATTTAATATTCAGCTTGTCAAGGAAAGCAGACCAGTTGGTTGCAGCCAATATACTTCTGCTTAATCCTGTATGACAGCAGGCTGCTATGAACCAGTATACATGTCGATAGCGTAAGTGCATACAAACCATGTTCAGTGCAAATGGATGTATGTTTCCTTGCAGCGGTACTAATATCTCAATGGGTTAATTATCATGAACTGTTTCAATTAAATATAATTATTTACAGTAGAACAATATACCTAATCTTACCTAGTGTATTATACTACATTAAATCTAACCTACAGTAGCCATTTTATTATTTAACAATGACATTATTATTGTTGACTTGTACAAGATACCTGATTCAAAGCAATGAATGGCTTCTCTGAATGCATATCTCATCTGAAGGAGCTTTTCAGTGTACAGGTGTGTAAGAATTTGGTCCACTGAAAAATAAAATGCATTAGTTAAATAAGATTTAACATTGCATGTGGTTAAATGCAAATTACCAAATTCAGTATCTGTAGGTCATGAAGGGACAATCAGGTGAAAGAAGGATGTTATGTTAGTGAACAGCTGTGAAGGTAGAAAAGAAAAAGGAGACCAAGTTTCTCCTTTGGGCGACTTGTTTAACCTTTTATTTTTATGAAAGCTTGTTATAGCTGGGCACCAAAGATTTCCTACATAGGAACCTTGGCCTCCCTGCAATTTCGCTTAGAGCACAGCCTCGTCTTTCTACTCAGACAATCAGGGAGAATGAGGCAAATTAAAAGGAAAACATAATGTAAATAATATTTTATGTAAATATCTATTGACTTAAATGTCAGAAAGACCATAAGCAAGACCCAGATAAAAAC